ATTGAAGTTTATCATTATGAATCCGATGAGCTTTCTAGCTTTGAATACTTGAGATTCAATGTGCTCAGAAATGTTCAAACTGTTTCTATATCTTAAACCTAAGTCATGAACAATGTAAAGAGGTTTCAGCGTATGTTTGTGTATAGCCGGCTGTTCATTGACAGTATACTTGCAACAACTTCAGTATGTAACTAATACATCCACTCTATCCAATGTTCATTTGTTCACCTTAATACATTTTTCATGTACTTTTATGCATACAACTTACTAAGTGACTAGTTACTTTTTAAACAACTTATTAAATGTTTTATGGAGTGTAGGGAAAGGCTCTTTTTCATTAGTACATTTTACGTATGTCTTCTTACGATGAAAAAAGAACAGGTCCATGCTAATTACATCGCGCATAATAGTTTTAACATTTATAAATTAGAAAACAGGAATTTTGCTGATTTTGTTTTTATGTGTCCCATCAAGTGTCATTTCGGCCGCTAAACCTTTGAATGACTTTTAGACTGTATTGAGGAACTGTTAGCGGAACATAGTTTGGATTAAAGCATGTTCCGTGCAGGATTGCTTTGGTGCACACTGACTGGTTATTTCCTATCCAATCAGCGCTGGTAAATACCTGGAGGAGACTCTAGAATCTTCCCATGTGAGAATTATAAATACACTGACATTTTTCTTATTGTGCTTCTTACTTCCATCTACCCTTGCTATTTGGAATATAATTTCTTTCCTGTTCAACTACATTCTGATTTGGAAACTTGTCGACTGAATAGGAATAGCTGTAGTTCGTTTACGAATATTTTTTTGTTTAAGCGATTTCATTATCAAAGACTAGTATTTGGACGAAGAATATTCTTTTCGATAAATTCTCTTGAGGTTCTACAATTATATATCTAAATTAATAATCTGAAAAATTGCCAGGTTAAGGGCAAAGTACATCGTTAAAAGCATGTGAATTTAGGATTGTGATAAACAAAATACAATAAAATTGTTAATGTTAATATGACTCATGTAGAATGTTAATTTGAATCGGCGTATATGTTAAGTGAGATTTAAGATCCATGATCAAAATAAATACGGGTCAAATAGGGTGAGAGAGAAATAATAGTGCAATTACAATTCGATCAAATAAGTAAGACGTAATACGGAGGGATGAATGCGAAGTGAATGAATCATGTATAGGGGAGATTAGTGATGTTTAACTAATAATACGAATAATAATAATAATAACAATAAAAAGATTTATGAATAAAGATAACAGGGACAATTACAATTGAATACGGAAGGTCGTATTCAAATTAGGTCATTCAATAGTTAGGATTGATGTTGGCCTTGATGTTGGCCAGGGGAGGAGTGCTTGAATATATTTCTTCTGTACGCACAGCTCCAGTTTCTTCGTCCCGATGGCTACTGCTTCAGCCGTTTGAATGACTTTCAGTCTGACCAGTTTTGGCAAAAAATTACTTACCTTATAAATAATTGAAAAAGATTGGTTTATACTGGCACTATGACCGGTTTGTACTAAATGGGCCAATATTGAGCTGTTCACCTTCTTCATCAAACCTTTATTTAGCCACGCTGGAAGGTGTTCACGAGCACGAAAATGTAAATTCCTATAACTTCGACCAATATAACTCGCTCCACAGGAGCAGTTGAACTGATAAATACAAAATGAGGCGGTCATTCTAGGTAATTCATCTTTTAGCTTCGGTGTAACCATTGGGCGCATAGAAAATACTAATCGTAGTTCTCTGACGTTAAAAGACTTTTGTATTGCTCTACGTAATCTCTGAGTTAGTATTTCGCTAGCCGCATCCCCTCTGAATTGTAGACGCACGAACAGGGATATCTTCTTCACTGTTTGTATTTCGCCTACTTTCGCCTTCGTGACCATATATTTAATTATAAACTTTCTAGGGTAGCCGTTCTCCCTGAGAGTATTATGCAAGGTGATAAGCTCTTGTTCGACTATATCAGCAGAACATATAATGCGAACACGGTAACTAAGGTTTTTGATCAAATTCCGTTTGTACTGAAGAGGTACAAAGCTCAGGAAATTCGTATACTGCCCAGTCCAAGTACTTTTTCTGTTTTTATTCCTTTTTAACGATCCATCCACTCTCTTAGTCAAGAGAACGTCCAAAAGAGCTATTCGGCCATCATTCTCTTCTTCAGATGTAAACGGAATGGCTGGATGCACTTCATTAAATCGTCTAAGAACCTCTTGCGGCGACGTATTATCTTTACAGAGGATGAACGTGTCATCCACGTATCTACAGTAAAATGTGAAATTTTGAATGATCCTTTTTAGTGGACCATTTTCTAGTTTGGCTAGAAAAATATCAGCTAGTATAGGGCCCAGTGGTGAACTTATTGCAACACGATCTGTTAGTCTACATATTTCACCGCTGAACATGAAATTCACATTCATGATGCATTTGAGTAATAACTATTTCACGACATTAATAGGGACAGTAGTTTCAATTTCATTTTCAATCAGCTGTTCACCTATATATTCTACAGTCTCTATGAGTGGGAGGTTTGGGAATAGCGATGTTACATCCAGTGACATCATCTTTAGTCCCAACGAACTTGCATTTTTTATTTTATCAACAAATCGGAACGCATCCTTAACACTATATTTTACAAGCTTTTCGTGTAGAGGTTTCAATACAGTTATAAAACATTTAGCTATAGTATGGTAAGGAAAGTTATACATATCTAAACTGGGTCTTTTTATCATTTATTATTAATGGCATTATTCATTATTATATTTTGGTAAAATCTAGAAATTCTCAGCACAGGTTATTTCAACAAGTTTCTTACACAAAAAACAAAGACAAAAAAGTCTTTAAAAAATTAAATAATCTGAAAAACTGTAAACTTTTTAAATTAAAGACATGTTAAGAATGCAAGTTATTGACTAGGTTAACTCTAACAACCAGTTCGTCACAGAGTATATTTGCTAGGTAAGGTATTATAGAACTTTTTTACTTTTGCTTGTGTGCATGGATTTTAATGTAATTACGTCTAGTTCTACCAGAAGATATACAAGGAGAAAGATAAGAGTGAAGGGGATGGTTAGCATCTGATAAAATAACACCTGCCAGGAGTTTGCATGACTTTAGATGTCTATCCATAACCATATTATGACATCGAAAGATTCACCACACATCTTGCTAACTGCCTTCAGCATTCATTTCTATGGGATGTAAAGAGGAAGAGACAGGCATACATACAGTGAGATCATCCGCATATTCCACAAAAGTGTTTTCTGTGGAAGATGGCAGGTCATGCAGAAAAAAAGAGAAAAGAAGAGGTGAAAGAACAGCTCCTTGTGGTACACCTTCATGAGACAGTAGAGACTCTGAACACTTTCCTCCAAATACAGTGTACTGTTCCCTTCCAGAGAGATAGGAACATAGCCAGTTGGTTATCCAGCTATCAGTGTTGATGCTGATTAACTTGTTAAGTAAACGTTGTCTTGGTTTAGAATCGAAAGCTGAAGTATAGTCCAGAAAAGCACATCGAACATACTTCTTACCCCTTTCTAAGTTGAACACTATATTGTGATGTAGAACAGCGACAGCATCTGAGGTGCTTCTGTTAATGGGATCCCCGGTTTGTGCACCCTTGGCAACCCATACAATCTCGGCAGTTGGGTTCCTACTGGTTTAATCATTTCACATAAACCCGATGTGATAGCCTGTTGGTCTCTGAGCTTCTTCAAAGATCTGGTAAGCTCATTCTCTATCTTATTATTCAAATATTTCTGGTCAGTTGTTTTTTGAAAATTTGATTTGTCATTTAAGATTGTACTCATTTTTTCAATTTAATCACTTTTATTAAGAAGAAGGAAACCTGAACCTTTGTCAGGTTTCGTAATCAGTAACGTCGCATCCTTAAGAAGTAGGTTGATAGCTTCCTTGTGCTTCTTCGTAAGCATGTTTTTGTAACTAAATTTATTGTTCTTATATTGGTAACAGCAGTCTACGAGAGTTTATTTAAAATGTTCTAATTGCAGATCAGAATTCACAACTAAATCACGTGTCTGACTATAAGGATTCTCGAACTGTATATCTGTACTGATATGGTTACAGTTATTACGAGTATCACAAAATTTTAGACCTAGGGATGATACCTCTAGTTTTTCTTTATCTAGTTCGACACTTGAGAAATTGTGAACATACCTTTTAGAGTCAGTTAAAAACTTGCTTTCGGCCGTCTGATTTTCCAGACCTCATTGCTTCCAACTCCGAAAATTCATAAATATATTTATTGCCCCCCACTTTATACATTTTGTACACGTTTGAAATCCCTAATGAACGCGTTAATTGAGCCAATATCCTTGTTCATTAGGTTACTTCTGAGTACGACAACATACAAGTTGACTGCCAACCTTCACAACTTTATGTTTTTTGACCTTGAGGACATTTCATTGCAAGAGATGAGAACATCAGTTTTATTAAATTCTTCAGTAACCGAATTCTCTTCAAATTAGGGGAATTATGGGCTGTACAGAACAAAGCGATGTGAGCGAATATCATCCTGGTACCCCATGATAACAAAGACTAACTTCAGTTTAGTAATTCACTTTATATCACAGCTCTGAATAACATGAAAAGACATGAGCTCGTAACTAGACATTGAAAGACAAACACTTTAAATCATTTGAACGTTTCGTAGTAAGGGACTGTAAGATGTCGAATTATACAGCGATGGGACTTTCAGTTGCTTTGTTCACTATTGACCCTATGGATAATGTTATAATAAGGATGATCACATTAACCAAAAGAGCTTTCGGTTGCTCATCTTAACCAACCGACTGTGCCTAAGCGCATAAGTGGAAAAAAATTAATACGCGACTTCTGTCTTGTGAAAGTAACGATACTTATTACCACTTAATACTAGATAATTTGAACTTGTTACCTGTGGCATTTACTATTCGTTTATATCACGTGAGTGAATTTCTAACAAAGAGCGAGTCAGTGTAGGGAGGTTTTGACCATTTTTAAGCAAATAGGTTGTTCCTTATTTATATTGGAACCTAAGTGCACATTTTATTGTGCCGGTATTACAAAAGTCTTGAAAGCCCGCGAATGTCAAACATACGCTTAGGGGATTTCCTCAAAGGTTAGTTATCAGTAACGGTGCTATGTTTCCTAAGTCATTATATGTTATTTTCTCCGTTCCTATCAAAATTGCCTTCCGTTACAGGCACAAATGGATCCCAGAAAAGACGAAACTGTCGGAAACAAATTGAAGAAACTATTCAGTACCAGAGACCGTCCTAAAGAAAAGCATAAAGATAAATGTAGCAAAGATTCGAGAAGTAGCGAGTCACCACCATCATCGGTAAATATGGGTAGTGTGAGTGACGATGAAGTTGAACGGAGATTTTTGCAAATGTTGGAGGATATGAATTTATCGGAAGATCAAACGATATCTTTGAGAGAAAAACCTATAAAAACAAAGCTCGAAATGCTTGAAACGTATGGAAAAAAGCTTGGATCCTCAAAAAATGCTCCTGATTATTGTGCGAGGTTCTTGTTGGTCCCACAAAACTATTCACCGAAGCAGCTGCTAAATGCGTTGGAAAACCTACGTGTGAACTTATTAAATAATGGTGTAAGTTGGGTTCGGGAATTTAACAATACATCTAACAACGGTCTAAACAATTTGCTACACTTTTTGGCCCTTACTCTGACGAACTACTACCCAAGTTGTGCTCTACATTGTTTACGTTGTATCCGTGCTCTTGGGAATTGCGGTTATGGCTTATATGCTTTGGTAGACCATGAAAGTGCAACTACATTTATTGCTAAGTGCCTGGACAGTGATCAGTCACCTCTAGTGGACTGTGCTATAGAGCTCTTATCTAGTATTGCTCTATGTAATGCTAAAGGCTACAAAAACGTTCTGGAAGGGCTAACATTTAGTGCGGAACTTAATGGGACACCAGACGAACGCTTCATGCCTTTAGTTAAAGCCCTAGATTGTCCTGAAGTTGCGCGAGCTTCGTTGCAGTTTATTAATGTTCTTGTAAACCGCAGTTGTCTTGATGAGAACTCTTTTGACATTGACTACAGAGTGCATTTACGGTGTGAGTTTAATAGTTTAGGAATTATTGAAAAGCTTAACAAACTTGAAAATTCATTGGACGCTGACATTCAAAATCACATAACAATCTACCGTTCTAGAGCTGATCAGGACTTGGACGATGTTTTTGAGCGACTAGATTCAGTCAAATGTGATCTAGATGATGCTAACCAGATTTTCCACATTCTTCATCGTACTATTATGGGAAGCAAATCAGAGAAGCACTTCCTGTCAATACTACAGCATTTTCTTTTTATTCGTGATGAGCCTTATAGATTGGCTTACTTCACTCTTCTGGAAGAACTGATTGGCCAAGTTTTAATTCAAAATGATGGTGTCGATCCTGATCCGCACATGAATATTCTACGCTTGGATGTTGAAAGTACTGTCGCATTATTGGTAGATGCACTAAAGGAAGCTGACGCCTCAACTCGTGTTGAGGAACTTCAAGCTAAGTTAGATGCTGCTCTTCAAGCTAAATTAGAGGCAGAAGCCAAAGTGCAAACATTACAAAGTCATTTAAGTTCGGGAGACAGGTCTACCATCAAGCCTTCTTCTGGGCTGGAAGGGACACTTAATTCTGTAATAGCAACTGCTCCTAATATCTTACCTCCACCTTCAAGTGCAAGTATACCACCACCTCCAGGCATTCCTCCACCGCCACCTATGGAAGGTGTTCCTCCCCCTCCTCCTCCGCCACCACCACCTATGGGAGGTATTCCACCACCACCACCACCTATGGGAGGTATTCCGCCACCTCCACCACCACCCATGGGAGGTGTTCCGCCACCACCACCGGGTTTCCAGTCATCCAAACCTGCTGACGAACTTCCTTTTGGTATGAAACCCAAAAAGAAATACACTTTGGATGTCCCTATGAAAAAGGCCAATTGGGAAAAAATTAAACCCAATATGCTTGATAAAAACTCGGTCTGGGTCCAACTTCATGAGGATGAGCTTGAGTACGGTGATTTGTTAAAAAATCTTAGTGCTCAATTTAGCACAAAGCCAGCTAAGGTGATGGTGTCTGACTCTACATCAGATGGCGCAGCTTCAGCTGGGAATCTACAAGGTATTCAGTCTCGTAAGACGAAAAAGCTAAGATATTTGGACGATAAAGTGGCTCAAAATCTGTCAATTCTTCTGGGTTCACTTAAAGTGCCATATGATGAGCTTCGTCGGCGTATCCTAACTGTCGATGAAAGTTTACTAACTCCAAATATGTTAGAGCAGCTGGTTAAAGCCCTACCAGAACCACAAGTTATTTCAAAGATCAGTTCACTTAAAGATGAATATGAAACACTAGCGGAACCTGAACAATTTGTGTGCAAAGTTGGCGATATTAAGAAACTCATACCAAGACTAAATTCAATCCTATTTAAAATGAGGTTTAATGAGAGACTTGGTGAAGTAAAGCCTGAGATAGTTGATGTAGACGAAGCATTGCAGGAGATACATTCCAGCAAACACTTCAAACGTATATTGGAATTGGTTCTGCTGTTAGGCAATTACATGAACGCGGGTTCCAGAAATGCAGAGGCGATTGGATTTGAAATTAGTTTTCTAACTAAGTTAGAAGCGACAAAGGATATATCCAATTCCCAGACGTTACTTCATTTTTTGATTAACTCTCTTGATCGAAAATTCCCAGAAACTGTTAAGGGGTTTCTGGATGACTTCTCGCATGTTGAACGGGCTTGCCGTGTCTCTGAGGATAGTCTGAAAGCTAACATAGCAGAAATGAAGAAGTCTGTTTCCAATATTGATACAGACCTAAAGACGTACAAAGCTCAAGACCCTAATGATAATTATATTTCTATAATGCAGGATTTCCTTTTATTTGCTAAAGAACAGATGTCACAGTTAGAAATGATGCACAAACGAATGCAGGATAAATTTTTGACCGTTTCTAAATACTTAGCATTTGACCCCAACAAATACCATATGGAGAATTTATTTTCTGATTTGAAAGACTTCCATGTTTCCTTTAAACGTTCTGCTTCTGACCTGGCCAAAAAGCATGCGCTGGAAGAAAAAATGAAAAAGGCACGAGAGGAGCAAGCACGCCGTCAGCGTGAACGTGAGGATAAAGCTATTCTGAATAGCTCAGGACCCAGGGCACCTACAGAGGAAGAGGGAAATGTCATTGACAATTTAATGGAGGCCCTAAAGTCTGGTGCTGCTTTCGCTAATGGAGGTGAAAGGTCAGTCGTCAGGCGTAATCGAAATCGTGTGAGCCCAGCCGCTGCTAGTCTCGCGTCAGTTGCTTCACCATCGGCTATTCGACAAAGGCAGTTAATGCGCGCCAGATCTCGTAATTATGGTGACTTACCTCGTTCAGTTGTCGATGTAGCATGAAGTACCTAACTCTTTTTTACTCCTTTTCAAAGTTTACTTGTAAAGCGCCTTGAACATCACCTTAAAGAACTTTTCAGAAGTGTTTGATAAATAATTTCTAACTGGTCAGATTCAGACTTGTATCTTTTTCATTTTCTTATTTGTACAGTCTTTTCATAAATTTCATACATAAACTCATGTTAATTTTTGCGTAATTTTGTACGTTTTCAGTGTTTTGCAGTGTGTAGTTTCCGTCAAGATATATATTATTCATACTAAGTAGTTAATAATCAAAGCGTGCGTATTGTCTTGTGAAAGGAAACAATCTAAATTATTAGTTCACTTCTTGTAGGTGTATTAAACTAAAACCGGCTGCCAACGGCAGATAGCAAGGAAATTACATTTATAGCAAGTTGCAATTTGTGTCAACAGGATTTAATAACCACTTTCTGTGTACTTCAAGCCTTCTGTTTAAAGTAAGGTGCGATTATGATAAAGTTAAAACATCCATTATGTTTATTCATCAGAAATATATAGTCAATTTGCACCATCTTTTATTTATTTATTTAAACACAAACATCGGTACAAAGGAGTACCAAAATATATATATGTCGCACAAATTTGTAGTCTGGGGTACGATCCGGGTGCCTAAACTGAGACGGGTGGTTTCCTTGGGGTGGCCGCTTCCGGACATCTTGTTCCTAAAGCAGTAGATGTACGTCAGTAGTTACGGTTCCATGTTAGGTGGTGGTTAGAAATAGGTCCACACTTCATTTGTCCCCCTCAGGATTCTGGAGGCCCTGTGCACCATTGGTTTGGAATTAGTTTTTCTCCCCCCCCAGATGGATCCTCTGTACCCACCGGTCCGGTTTAAGTGCAGGACATTCACTTGCATAGCCTTAGTTCGCAGCAAATTATATTGTGTCATACCTTTGGATCAAGTATGAGGTTTCAGGTGATTGCTATCTTAGACTTGTTTAGCACTCCAGTATATTCATTCTTAAACCGCTTAGGACTTAGTACAAATGATTGCATTACGTAAGTGTCAACTAGTTTCGGAATTCGGTTTGATTCAGAATCTCATTATATATAATTCCCATGTCTAACTTAAAACGAAGTGCACCAAACGCTTGAATGCGACTACATTCGTAGACGGGTTTTGGTATACATATCTAAGGCTGTTCAACACAAGATTCTTTAGGAAAATGATTGTTGTCTGTGCTGATATTTGGTCACATGGATTTTTTTGCGGCACAACAAAGTACAGTAGGCACATTTATCTTTACATCAAACATTTCCAAATGAATAATCTAGGCTTTGTGAAATGTTGTCTCATGGAACCTATGTTTTCTGCTTTGTGTACTGTTCTATTCGAGTATTAGAAGACGTGGTTACTAGTATAAAGACAAACTTTATAAAACTTATTAACAAATCGACGTGTGTTAATGTTCTGGTATAATAATTCAACTTGCTCCACACTGGTTGAGTCTGTAAACGGAGTGGGATTTTACCATTATTGAAAGGTCAGTTGAATAAAAAAATTAACGCTGCTGTAGGATGAATAATGCTGTATTCAGAGTTCGAGAGTAAAACGATATCACTGGTCGTACTGGTAATTGATGTAGGCTGTTCGACTAGGTTGTGCTGCAGTAGCATTCCCATTCTATGAAGAGTCAGTGGAAATAGATTTGCGCCGGAATATTCATATTCTGTTTTATCCCCAATGGGTTGTTGTTAGCAATGAGTTCGGGTACATATTTTATGTCGGTCACTTCAGGATATTAACTTATGTTGCAAGAGTCCATTGGGATTATCATTCGTGTGCACCTCCAACAATAATGTACACCCTTTCAAACTACTCCATTTAATTTCATCATTTTCGTTATCGTTAACCTCGTGATCCTATGTTCATTAAATTCTAGTCTTTAACTAATAATAACTACTTGATTTACTGAATGACATCATTAATCTGAGATAATACTGTAAATTGTTCCTTTCTGTATCAAATAGGATAACATATCCGTAGTTAAGTGTTAAAGTACTTAACCCAATTTGCAGTCAATGTAGCGAATAGTGAACAGGTTTCACATCAGCTGACATCAATTGCTATTGATTTTAGCGGGTCTACATCTGCATCCATCTTCGACATTATCTTGGATTATACTAAAAGAAACTATTACGCTTTTTAATCAGTCATAATCTATAGGGAATAGAGGTCAATCCGTGAGAAGTTTTTACGTACATACCTTTGACGAAATTCATGTGAAATAGAGATTCCTCGTACTTATCTCCCTAAAGAACACGTATTTAACTTAAATTACAAAAATAATAAGATTTTAATTATTTTTGAGAACCTGTCGAGGTTCATGATGTTTTTTGCACCTATAAAATTCAAGTTGACGCATTTAGACTTAAAATTGAGTAGTCTCATTGCTTTGTTAAATATTTACGAAGGCTCTCATAAGCGTTAAAATATCAGCGTAACCTTGAGATCTACAATCATTGTTTTGCTTTCTCTATCTTATGAATCTGGATTTATCCTAAAAATCTGAAATATTGCATGGAAGGCAGTCTTGTGTCGCTTTACTTCCTCGGGAAATGATCGTAGAATTTAAACGACTCAAGACTACTTATAATAAATTACAGGTATCACTCAATGAGTCCACCGAATCATTGGTGGTTAAATTATGAATAATTAGATATGGCTGTGAATCTGTAATGATCGACATAACCGAGCCATGTCATTTATGTTGGGATAGTATCCACTATGATTCGGTCAGTATAGTCGCATAGAAAATGGGGCTGCTATAAAGAGTAGCTGTTGCGTCCTCAGGAGATAATTAACGAACTTTGATAGACGAAATAATTTCAGAGATTCATCACTCCCTCACCATTACTATCAGTCAGTCATAATCACCTTAGGGCTTGGCAAAAGCTTGAATTATCACAAGCTACGGCTAGATAAGATTAACAAGATGAGTAGCAATGGAGTTGAGTTAATGATTTAGTGATGTTAATAAGTTAATGAACATTGAGAATACGGTGCAAAAAGGCCGTTTTGATTAATAACTGTACAATAGTATCCACAGATATCTTTGCTGATTAGTATACCATCTAATTCACGAATTGTTTAGTTTTTTTTACAAACAAAGTTATCATTCCTAGTAAAATACTCGTTAAATGGTATGTAAAATTATTTGAAATGTCATTATATTACCAAGTAACAAAGTACACATATTTTACTAAACCACACTTCATAAGGTTAAGTGATGTCTATTTCGAAGTAAGCTGTACATAGTGTGAACCTGTAATCCACTGATGCAAAGTTAGGTGTATGCAGTTACGATCTGGATGTAAGATAAGTAAAGGTAAGTTTCTGGTAAGTTGGGCGACGATATTATCCGGGCGTTCACAATTGACTTTTAACTAGTAAACGAAATAGTCTATACTGGGGAGATGGTTCATGTTTGAATCTCGTCTTATCTATTTTATTCCGAGTATGTGGGTATTGTTGATGGCTTGCACACAATCAAAGTTTGGCTGAAAGTTGAGTGCTCAAACATCCTTTGTAAATAATTTATGCTGTTTTATTTGGAGACAGTGCTAGTACCTCTCTTTTTAAGAACAAGTGAGTTATTTAACTCAGCGAGTACTTAATTTTAAGTGTAGCATGTTGTTTTTTAATTTGTTTCTACTTCCGTAATACAATACAAAATAAGGACTTAGATATCAAATAGTTTCGGGTTCAATCGGGTCGCTGCACGAAAATTTTTGTTGTGGTGTCTCTAGTCGTCAAAATAAGTGACTTGCGTTGTAATTTCTCTAGTTAAATCATTACTAAAAACCCTGCAAGTACGCTTTTTTGATAAGTGTCAACAAACACGAAGCTTAAGACTATTGCCCTCTCTTTGCTATCATAATATCAGGTGATTGATCTTAATAGTCGAACCGCAATTGCAACCGATCGGTTTCTAATACTACTGAGGGGCATAAATTCGGACATTATCTGCTATTTGGTGACAGGTTTGTACATCAAGCAAATTTGCGAATAGAATACTTTGCTCTTAAAGGAGGATCACCAATAATTGATCATTTCTACTAACATATTTACTTAGACGAAGTTTACATTTTTCGATAAATAGCTTGCAAATCCCATCCAAATTCACTGATTCCAAAGCATTCAGATACTGTAAAGTTTGTAAAAGAATTGTAATATTCTTATTTAATCCTTAGCTATAATTTCTTTTGATGGCTATCTCTTTTAGTCCCTAAAAATGTAAACACCACTTTGCACGCATTGTGTATATAGAACATAATTCCCTATCCTCTGATTTTACGATGTTATTATATTAATGAAATTCTAGTTCTGATGAGTTTAAAAGAAAGGAGCTGTCTTAGAATGAATGAAGAAACTTGATTTATGTATTTTTATTTCACTTCTCCAACAAAAACTGGGTTGAATTCTTTAGGACTTTTGCTTATGATTTGATCACACAAAGGATTTTGTGAAGGTTATCAGCTAAACCATAAGTAATAAACAATATGTAAATTAGTTGTAAGCTTTGGATTACGGAGTCCAATGCATTTGTAACCAGCTACTGTATATTTAACAAACACAGAACTCTTAAAATTTGAGACTACTGAAGTGTAAACTGCGGTTCGTGATTCTTCAACATATAACGAATATGTGTATGCATGTACTAAGTGCTATTTGCTTTTATTATCTCTTAGATTTGTTAGAAATATTCAGTAATGAAGTGGTATTCCTGATATTCTAAATACTTTGTTTTAAAATGTTATTGCATTTTCCATAGTTATTTTCAAGTTTCAGTCTACACTTCTATACGTGTTTCTAACCGATGGAAGGCAAGTGTATAGGTAGTGTCGTTAACATATTGATGCAAGTTAACTAACTGGACAAGATAAACATGTTATATTATAATTATTTTTATGACTTGATAGTTGTGCGTAAAGATTTCAGAGATTCTCGAGCTTATCATTATTTTGTTTTTATATAAGTTGAATAATTTTTGCAGAACTTGGTAGGTAAGTTTAAATTTAATTGGACTTTACTGATCCGTTATTTCATACTAGGAATTATAACATTTTATTCTGAGTTCTGAAAGAAAACTGTCTTCAGGAAACGATACCGTGACAATGTTCATTTATTACATCGAGGCGGCTTTAAGACTAAAGCGTCCGAATTGCAGCTACTAAGTCCCAGGTTTGAGCCCCTCTCTACCTACTTTGTTCTGGGTAACCGGGTAGTATCGTTAGGGATCACACTTGCAGTATGGCTCATTATCAAGTGCCTTTTGGATTAGTTAGTTTTATCCGAGTGTATTAAAAAGATTTGACTTATAAATAGTTTTTAGGAAAAGATTTATTTTAGAGTGCTCTTTGTCGTAATTATTTATAGCAGCGTTTTTTTCGTGTAGTATCAATTGGTGTTTAGATGCACTTCATATTTATTGCCTACAAAAATTAACTGTATTTGATATGACCCAGTCTTCTGTTTCTAATTTAATGAACGAATTTTACAAAAGCTTAAAGTCTAACTTCTACTAACGTGTCTGTGTGTTGTTAAAACGTGTTTGAGATGCTTGTGGTGATTTATCTCATTCCATGGTTTTCAGATAATGTTTTGTATCCAAGAGGACCAGGATTAGGTGCAGCTCAGATTTTAAACAATGTAAAATCGACTTTACATTTTGGTACTTTGTCATCGATCGATTCATGGGAATCGAATGCCTATTTACTGTTCATGCCATTAGTTTCTGATAGTCGTCCAGAATTCCGTGGAAACATACTTCGAGATTGTATGCTACATTTACCTATCCCTTTAAAAATGCCGTCTACGGTGGCAGTTGGTCTTGATGGTGTAGAAAGTCAACGAAAGGCTGACGAGCTTTTGGGAAGACTGAATAATGAAACTGAGAATTATCATACAATAAAGCGTCCTTTCAAGCCATTGTTGTATACGGATTCAAGGTTTGTTAGTTTTTCTTATTCTCTTTCGTATTTTTAAGACTCAATAACTCAGTGATTAAAGTCAATAGACTTATTGTTTATAGTTTCGTGAACTATAAATTGTATTGCTGTTTGATTTGTATTTATTACCATCCAAGTATAAATTACTTCTTAAGGATTGACTGGAATTTACGCCTACAATTAATTTTGATGGTGAAGTTTTAGAAGTAGTCAAGGCACTGGTTAATAAGTGTACTTAAATGGGTAATAGTAATGATATGGCAGAAGAAATCATTCTATGTACAGCGAAACATATAACTGCCTATTGTAAGTCTGAGTCGATTTTCTCGCGATCGTCACGTTAGTTTGTTTATAAAAACGTCGAGTGCACAACAGTGCCTTAATACCAGTTCTTTTGTTTACTAGTGTGAAATTGATTCTCAAAGATGCGGGTGTTTAATAATCATTGCTTTCATTTAGTCACAGCACTGTGCAGGTAATGCCGAGGGGCAGCTACGTGTTTGTGGACAATTTATATCACTCAACAAGTGGTGGCAACTTGGGAAAGTGACCTCACCGGTTTAGACATGTTTTGCTCTTGCATACTGATGATTAGTTATTGATGTTGGGGTGAAGTCAGATCAATCATAAACAACGTAGAACCTCCCATAGATGTGCATCGATATTGGAGCTGAAGGTTAAAGACAGAGTTAGTTAGCTTATAAAATGAACTTTTAGATTGAATAAATAGTTACATCAAGTTAGCTTCTGTTGAATTATCATGATTCTTTCAATGAGGCTGTTAGTGGTTGGGCGTTTCACTGCCAATAGACGTTATCAAACTATTCAAGACTGAAATCAGTGGATACCCTGGTTGTGTTTTCATTTAAAATATGACCTTCAGTACTTCTTATTCTTATTTTTACTATTTTGTTTCACAATATTGTCATTTCATTTTGTGTGATGGATTTGTCAGTACATATTAGGCTTTGATTTGTTATTTTTTTATTTTCCAAATGATCTTACGAATAAAATAAACCATTGGAAAATTAAAAATAATATTTGAAAATGTATCTCAGTGGATTTTTAACTCGTTTTTTTAATTTTGTATAAATATGATTCAAACAATGTATATAGTCAGTAACCAGAAAAAAATGATTGATTGGTCTAATTAAATTAGTGGATAATGAATAAAGAATACCATTTTGTACAAGATAAAGTTTTATATCTTTTCATCGACACCAACCTTTAAAGCATCTAAGATCGAGGAGAGTACACTGTGTAATAGCTGTATTGCAACATTAATAAATAGAATTTCGACTAGTGTATACCAAACACTAGACGAAAATTCACTAGTCACTGTCATTAATTAAATAAATAATAATAACAAAGATGGAATATTTTTAATAGTTATTAAGTAACGTTTTATCACTCCATTAAATTTATTTTATTCTTTGATAACTATTTCGTATATTTTATTATAGTGTATTAGTTCGTGTAGGTATTTTAAGAGTTTTAATAGAATTCGTTAAACAATCAATTGTTTATTGGTTGTCAACATAAAGTACTTTGTTATTGATTTTATCTTGACCAATTTACTCCGTATCGTTTGTGACACCTAAATTAAATCTATTTAAATCTTTATATATTTGCCAACAAAAAAAACATTCGCATCTCGTTTGCGTTATATTATCAATGAGATATTTTTGAACGTGCAACTAACAGAAACTAATCATTAAGGAAATAAATACATGTTTTGTATAGTTCACCTGCAGTTCTCATTAGTTATTAAAATGATTAGATCCAATGTTTTTGTGATATTGTTGTATGGTCACTTGAAGGTGTGACAAATAATTTAACCGCTTAATTTCTTGATCCGTTTTATATTCATTTATAACGTATCTAATGGATTGTAATGTTATCAATTACATTTATAATTAAATTACATAGATGTGTAGGGTAGCCTGTCATCTAAATTATTTCAATACTTTTCAATTTACTGAAATAGACAAATCAATATATCTTAAAAATCCGTCTAAAAACACCATATAAAGTATGTCGGTCAACTATAGAAAAGTTCCCAAATCTTGAAGTTTTCCATAATGGCATCAAATTAGTGTGCATGTATGCCACTGTAACAGGTTTAAAATATGTTATTTAATTCACTCATTTTTTATAAAGTCATGATTGATAAAAATCAGCAATTCAATAAGCTATTCATACTGCAAACTTTTCACCTACTTTATTACATATTAGTTTGTTCAAGAAATTATTTCTGAAGTTATTTTCTTGGAGCTTTCGGAATGTTATACATCTATGTTGGAAGTATCAGAAGGAGACAATATTGGATTAAGAAATTAAATGAATCAATAAGGCGCTTGACTACCTATCGATTGCTACAACATACATAATAATTGGATCAGGATTAATATATTACAGCGATCCTAAGTCGAAATAGAAAACCTATCATCAATTAACAAATTGGTATAAGCTATCTAGGCGACTAGTTATTATAGTCAATATCACTGAGATAATAAAAATCGCTATCGGATGTTGAATATATCATTGTCTGTTGTCCAATATACACTTGGTGTTTTTTTCTCTAAAATTAATTAATTATAGTTTCATATTGACTATCTGTTTTCAAATAATTTCTGAAGACTGTTACAAGTTGAATCAATGTATGATTGTCTCTAGATTTGTATAAGGTTTGAGCTAGTTAGTGTCAGAATCGTATTATAAATACCATACTTTGTGAAGGTCAGTTAGCTAACTATGTAACTGATACAATATCTTACTTTTATTGGTAACTTATTGTTAATTAGTCACTGATTGGCATTTAATATAATGTTTCTGACTGATATGTATTTTTATGTGGTGTGTGAAACACCTATCCAATATGTGCATTCGTCCTGTCTTGCAAATGTACGTTTCTTCTGTTGAGGTATAGCTAATTTAACGTTTGATCATATAACATTACATCGAGTTGTCACACTGGTTCAGTAACCCTCTTTGACTATCACAATAGATATTTGTTACTCTATAGACATAATGTCCTTACTCTCTATATCACTACAATTATTTTGAAATGTTATCACCTATTTTATAACCTATATTACATTTATCATTATTTTACTCTAGTCTTTATTGTACTTCAATGCCGTTCACTGATGCAATGGAACTTGGTAGTCCAGGTGATGGACTTATTATACGCCCATCTAAACTCGGTTTATTCATTTTACATGTAAGTGGAAATTATCCTCCAACGTATAGTCTAAATTCATTGGAACGTTGTCTAGAAACTTTTGATTTGTAAACCAGTTTTATTCAAATGATAATGTTTAATTAGATGTTTGTTTTTGTTTAATTTATAGACTTCTTTAAAACTAAGTATCATGTGACGTAGGTATAGGTTTTACGAACGATCGATAGAACATCTATGACTCTTGTCAAATAATTCACCAAAATTCTGTCGATATATTACGAGACTATTATATATAGATTGTAAAATAGATGCATCGTATTAGAACATGTATTAAAACATTAGCAATTTGTAATTGAACTGTTTTAAAATGAGAATATATCTAAGTTGTGAAATAAAATAACGCAGGTTTTTGTACAGAAATACCTTGCAGTTCAAATAATCACACTTTGTAACCGAAAAAAGTGTTAGGATATTAAAACAGACAAGATGGGTTGTTGAATCGAAAAGGAGAACAAAATATTTTACTACTTGGAGGAACAGTATAGTGAATATAGATTTATGTAACTAAATTTGATTTAGAAAACCACATCACCTTATTCCTTTAACCACTGATTTCTATCATTCCGAAGACAACAGATTTACACTATTTGTGTATTGTAAATCAACCAATCCGATAAGAAATCACTCCTAAAAAGTTTTTGTCAACTCCAGCTGTATGAAGGCTGAACAGAATTGAAACTTTCAAGATGTTACTAATCGTCACTTCAGATATAGTTGTCATGCAATCTTATGGAAGTACTGAAGTTCTTATGAAATACTTTAAAAAACATGGTATGAATGACAGGGACTAAGTTTGATTCTTATGACCAACGAAATACAAGTTTTTAGATTTGTTGTAATCGGTTGAGGGACTGATGTTAGTACCATTTAGCTCCTAGTTAACTACATATTAGTTCGCGAGTTTCGACCTAAGTTTTTCCCGTTATTTCCAGATAGCGATCTTAACTGCCGTTGATTTTATCTAATCGCTGTGTTTAAAAGGCTTGAATAATAGGTATTTATAATATCACATCAGTGTCTTTCGCATCCTATTTAGCTTTGCTATTCGCCACTGCTCTTGTTCGTTTTGCAAACTGATGAGAATGGAGACAGTTACCTTAACCACTGTTCCCAATATTTAACCTGTCTGTTTGAGCAAGGTTCATCATCTCTCTAGCTAACTACTTTTTGAATACAGATGAATCTTTTATCTTTCCATCGACAATAAACGTTAGTCCAGTTTCATCTTTGAATTTTCCCCTAAAGGGGATTATTTTTCTGTGAAAGTAGCTACTTTTAATCTTGCTACCTGTCAACCTACTATACTAATTTGTTAAAACTTCAAATAATAAGTCATTCCATCAATAAAAACAATTGGGTTGCTGAGATCGACAGATCTGATCACTATGTTAAGGCAGTGGCTATAAGAATCCAACTCGATAGTTACGTAAGATTAGCAGTATTTGTCTACATAATCCTGGGTGTGGAATAGGTGCTCAGTTGAATAGCTAACAGACTAGAATCCAACTGACTAGTTATAATTAGGAGAGTATGTACATTATACATTCACCTACCTAATGTAACCATATGAAAATTTGTGTACCAAGTTAAAAGTTAACGATACCACTCATCCCTACTGGTAGAGAGGTAAACATTCATTAGTTTTTGATGGAGTCTGCTTCTACCTGAAGTTTGTGCTGATGATGTTGTTATGAATTTAAGTTCGCTAGTTATCATGTGATTCATCCGCCAATCGAAATACGACTTAAACGATCTTCACAGTGTGCTGAACCAATGACTTTCGACCTGTATGAGCAGCCTAGAGTCCTTATTGGTCCCTTGCTTGCCTAGCCCGTCCAGTTGAGTCCGGAACACCAATACAGCTTCCATTATGCGGATAATTTATTTCAGACATACTGAGTTTATACATCAACCAAACAGACCGCAACGCACCATAAAATAGAAAATAACACTCGTACAAAATATAGTCAAAAGTGGTTGTGAGCGCGGGAGACAGCAATTAATAAACTGAGTATAACTTAAGAACAGCAAATCATACAATAATAATCTATAGGTCAAAACGAAGCTTATAATAAGGGGAATGTAGATAAAACATAATCTAATTGCTGAATGGTTATACCATAAGAATATATAGATAATATTAATCCATTATTAGGTTTCAGAAGTTACTCGTAATTTAATCTTCGCTAGGATAAAACAGATGTCGTTCAGAAGAACGATGAAAGCTTCACGACCAAACCATCCAGCTCAGAAAACAAAACTCCATCAAAATCATCCACCTGAGCTACAAATCTTCACCATCTCAAAATTCATTAAAATATTTATTTCTTAAAACTGTATTAACCAGGACAATATCTAAGTGAGTATGATGATGAAAGCTAAGAGGAGACTTAATTTTTGCATTTAAAATCTAACCAAGTTTTAGGATAACCGGATTAACATTATTATCTATGAGTTAAGTAATGGAACTTGACCGATAATCATAGTTGACTTGTGCTCTATTCATCAAGTATTTCAGTCGATGTTATTATCATCAACTTATGGGACTAACTGATACTCGCATCTGTGATAAATACTTTATACGGTATTAACCATTTACATTGGCAAGAAAAAATTACAAAATGTTAACTTAGTTCTTCCATTTTATCACTTACTCTTGTTGCCCATCGTGGAGAAGCATAGGTCGCCCTCCAGGATTCTCCATCCAACTCTGTTTTGGGAGGTCCTTTCCAGTTGCTATATATCCTTTTGATGTTTGCTTCTGATTCCCGACGTAATGTGTTCCTTGGTCTTCCTCTCTTCCTTTACCCCTCAGGATTCCAAGTTAAGGCTTTCCTTGTGATGCAGTTTGATGATTTCCTCAATGTATGTCCTGTCCACTTCCATCGTCCTTTTCTAATTTCTTCTTCGTCTGGAATCTGGTTTATTCTCTCCCACAGTCGACTGTTGCTGATGATATCCGGTCAACGGACATTGAGTATTTTGTGTAGACAATTGTTTATAAATACTTTTACCTTTTTGATGATGGTCGTAAAAGTCGAGATGAAGGCCACTTGTTGAGTATACAACGGCGAATAATCTTCGATGTATTACCTTTTTCGCTAGCTTCTTTAATGGCTTCGAATGTGACCAGCACTCTGGAAACTGAGTATGCCAACACTGTGTGAACTTCGTATGGGAACCAATTAATCTTGAGAGGGCATCTACCTGTCCGAAATCCGTTGTCGGTTGATGCTTTATCTTGAAATCATAACTCAGCAGTGTAATCTTCAAAGTAAGGTTCCCTATACGCACTGTCAAATTCTTTCTCATCATCAAGGAAGTTGATGTATAGTGGTGAGTTCCATTCATTTGATTGCTCAACGATGATCCATATTGTTCTATGCGTGACTGATCCTTGCGGAATTCAGCTTGTTGATCTCGAAGTTGAATGTCTATTGAATCTTTCATCCGGTTCAACAGCACTCTGTTGAAAAGTTTTTCTGGTACTAATAGTAGTGTGATGCCTCCATAGTTCACAATCACTGAGATCTCCTTTCTTTGATATATTGATGAGGTGTTCTTCTTTTCAGTCTGTCTTTTGCCACTTGTTCCTCCTCCCAAATGTTCCTGAATAGAATGTGAAGTACGTATGTAGCTAATCCTATGTCCGAAGATGATTTTTCAACTAGTATAGTGTCAGGTCCTACTGCTTTCCCACTCTTGGTTTGTCTGATGACCGTGGCGATTTCTTTAATTAACGGTGGGTAAACAGCTATGGGAAGGTCTGTGCGCGCTGCTTTGATTTCCGTTGGGTTCAGTGAAGCTGGTGTATTCAATAATTTTTTAGAATCTTCTGTCAACCTGTTCCTCTTTTCTTGGTTCTCAGTGATTGGCTTGCTTTCTTTGTCTTTGACCAGTACCTCTGGTTTACTATATTTGCCTGCTAGTGTCTTCGTCGTGTCATATAGTTGTTTCATATTTCCTTCTTGTACAACTTTTCGCACTGTCACTGCTAGGTCTTCGACGTCTTTCTTCTTGTCAGCTCTAATGCTCTGCTTCACTTGCTTGTTTGTTTCTGTGTATTCAATTTGTACCTCGACCTATTCTAACCTTGTCTGACTGTTGTTGGTTTCTGTCTTGTTCTTTCTTTCTTGAATCCTACTGAGGGTTTTGATAGAGACCTTCTCTTTGTGATAATGCTTCTTTCAGCGCAACACTTTCTGGCATTTTGAATTCAGTGCTTCTTTGATCCCTTTCCAATTTTTTCTTGTATTATTGTCATGTTCTTTGAGTAGATCTTGTAAAACTTGGAGCTGCATTGAATTGGTTGAGCTTGACCTTTATAATGCTGTTTTTCCATTGCTCCTTTAGCTTCAGTTTCATCTTGGAAACCATCAGGTGGTGATGTGAAGCTATGTCAGCTCCTTTCCTGCTTCTCATGTCCTGCATTGTTCTTCTGAATTTTTTGTGATGGAAATATGATCGATCTGGTTCTGTGTAGCGTGATCCGGTGAGACCTGTGTAACCTTGTGTATGCGATTGTGTGGGAGTATTGTCCCACCCATAACCATTTTGTTGAATGCACATAAATTTTCTAATTTGTCACCATTCTCTTTCCTTTCTCCCAATCAGTCCATGTCGTCCCATGGTATCTTCATAGCCGTTGTTGTCAATTCCGATGTTGGTGTTTGGGTCTACCATCAGGATGGTTAAGTGATTTCCTAGATACTTCTATACGACCGATCCCAGCCTCTCATAAAACTGTTATTTATCGTCTTCTTTGCTATCATTGGTGGGTACATAACACTGGATGACATTGATTGTGATCCCTTCCTTCTTTGTTTCGGAGACCTTGATGTTCTTGGATTCATGAGATTCGCATCCTATGAGTTGCATCAGAGCAACTCGTTGAGTGTGTGGAGGATTTTCCTCTTCGTGAACAAAGTAAAACAGCATTTCTCCCGAATCTTATCTTTCCTGTCCATCTTGGGTCCAATGTGTTTTACTTATTCCGAGAACCTCGTTGTTGTATCTCCTCATTTCCGAATGTCTTTGACTTGTTTTCCCAGTTTCACATATTGTCTGAATATTTGATGTGTCTGTATTGAATGTTGTTGTGGCTGTCAGATGTGGCATCGGCTTCGTGACTTGTGAAGTATCTCGTCTTCCCCAATGAGGCATGATAATTATTCTGAATGGAGATTGTTGAACTCGGGTGTCAGAGTTTATTTGGTTTAGACTGTTTATTCTTGTTGGTGTTTATTTAGCAATGTTGTTTACCCCACACCCAACCGTCATCCTTTACTCGGTCTTGGGACCGACACTAACCCTAGAGAAGCTACAGGCGGAGTTAACCAAGTTTATCATTATTCAATATTAATTCAAATTGCTAATTTCGTGCAGAAATACTAATAAGCTACGATCATAGTTTCAACTAAAATCTAGTTGCTACCATTGTAACATACAAATGGTCTATGATGTTTACATAAATTTTGAGTCATTAATTGTTCGTAGTAGATGAAAAATATATGACAGATTTAAACAACCATAAGTTCTATTGTTGTAATTTAATGGAGAAAGAACAGCTTTTGATGGTTCTACTTTTTCTAAATCAGGTTGTTTAATTGAACAGCTTTCATTATCATAGGGGCCTATTTTAAGTGATGATTTTATAGAATGTTAAATTGGTTTACTAACAAACAGGTTTAGTACTTACATCAGACTGTCAAGCGATGTATGTTATTGGTTTTTTCTAGATGAATGCTATACCGTTGGGAAAAGAGGTACCTAAAATATTACAGACAAAATAGTCTACTCAAAATGCAGATTTCTGATAATGGATATTTCATCAAAGAGTTGCACCAATATTGAATCAGAAATGATTGCATCATTGGGCGACAAATTAGGTTTTGTGTGTGGTATGAAAGTAAGCTCTAGTCTTGATTTTTATTGTTACACTGCTCAAAAATATAGAACTTCACCAAATATTCTCTCTAAGATATTGAAGATACAAATTGAGCTAAGAAATATTTCTTTTCAAATATTTCATTATCAAGGTCCTCTTCTAATATTATAGATTATACGGCAAAGTATAAAATCTATTCCAAATATTTGATGGTGAGTCAATATAACAATTTAATTCTATTCAGTTAGTAACTGGATTCTGGGAATTTAAACAAAGGTGAAAGTTTGTAATCAGTTAATTACTACACTTAGTTTGAAGGGACTGATGTTGGATATGTGTATGTTTTGTCATCAATGACATTTATAAGTATTTAATAAAACAAATGAGAAGAAAATTAGATGGTCAGCTTATTAAACACATTAAAAATTAGTACTTAATAAACCATAAATAACTAAAATGTTTTGGAAATTCGGACAGGATTTGATGGGCGTAATATTGACTAAGTAGAAGGCCAGGGTAGATTAAGAAGCTGTACAAATGTTTTCTGTATGCATAGGTTATGTTTATTGATATGTATTCCCACGGCTTCTACTTACGTAAGACCTGAATTCTAGATACAGGCTAAGTTCACTTGAATCCCATAGATGGCAATAAAATTTAGATTTATATTGACATGGTGACTAGTCCCATCTATATGCATCAAAATAAAGCTTATTGTTTTCTATTGTTCTTTGGTTAAATAAGAATTGAAATATGAAGCTTAAAGCTGAATGTATTTCTTTTAGTTGAAATGATATCAATGCATATCCACTATAATTTTATTCATAGCATTAATGTAAAAGTAATTCTCTGAAGTATCTGAAAACTGTCCTCAAATTGTTTAGATGTATATAGCAGCTCCTAAACATGAGTTGTAAAATTTCAGAATTGTAGGAAATCAGTTTTTAAGATCCAACTGTCACCAGATCATTCAACTAATTTCAAAACAAAGTAAGTCGATATTAATAAACCGACTGTTGGTTTGTTAATGATATTGTTTTTATTTCTATAGTACTAATGGCGAGACTATAATTTATGGACGAACCATTCAGATTTACGATAACAGGTCTTGAATTTTGGCGCAAAATTCACTCATCCATTTGGTTAAATAGAGTTTTGGTATTATAGCTGATGTCAGTTCGTGATGAAAACCCTATATCTAATTTCTAACCTTAACCATCAATTGTAAACATTAACCCTAATTCCCCACGCTGGTTTATAATCCTCATTTAGCCTGAAATAAATCAACATAAATCAATTAATAAACCTTATGATTCTATGTTTAGAACATTTACTCGAAAAATTATAACAAACTAATTAATACTTATATTACTGTATTACGTAGAAAATTAGTAGTTCGTTTCATATGAAATATTTTCGAAAATATTTTCATGACATTGTGTTTTGTTTTGACTGATAAATGACAGTTTAAGTACTTGTATTAAGATATATAATTTATCACTATGGTGGACTTCTCTTAAAAAAATTAATTACCTAAAACTAACTTCACTATCGCTAATAATCTCTGCTTTATGAAGTATGATTTAATTAGTGGGTGCATCTTAAGTTTAATAATTCACAGGCTTACAATAGATTTATCACTGAGTTGCGACAAATGTCATGTTTATTTAGTTCTTTACTGTTGGTCGAAGTCTACCGATCAAAATAAAATATGGCTACTAGTTTGTGTGACCCAACACCTCATGCATTATATTGAAGTGTTAGATTGTCTGAGGTAGTTTAGAGGAAAGTATGAACTTAAGTTTCGTGTTAGCTAGCACTTGTCAGCAAGCAATGTTTGCAAACGTAATGGGATTGATGTTTCTTATGTCAAGGGTTTCCTGCTAACTATCTACAAGTACTTGACAATTTAGTGGCTGATAGGTTTGATACATTTGAGATTTGAATTTTTCAAACCCTCTATCTATTAAGCAGAGATTTTCATGATGATCTCATCAATAGTTAATTATTTGCTATCGTTTCGTGTTTCTAATCTATTTGAATAAAAATAAAAGACGTTGATCTCTGGTTTTACAATAAAATTAAGTGTAAGATGGTTTTAGTTAATATTGATAAATGTAGATAGTAAAAAGTCAAAATCACAACTGGAACATTATCTTAAAATTATCATTATCATAGTGATAAACTTTCTTCTCTCTATTATTGAATACCACCGTTATTCTTATTAGCGTAAGTACGTATTTATTTGTATACATACACAAGCAGTCATTCAGTGGCTTAACTTTAATCATTCACTAAAATGTGATCATATGACGTGAATTTTATGCAGTAAATATCCATATATATATAGTTAAATAAGTATTCACATTGCGATGATGATGATGTTGGCAATGGTTAATTACACTATTGATAGTTTTGCGAAAATATTGATCAGTAAGTATAGAATGAAGTGAATCCATCCAATAACAAGAAATTGATAAAATCAAAAATAACAACCACAACAGTTGAAACAGAATAAATTACGCATAAATTAAGTTGATAAATTTTGTAAATCTTCAACTTTTCTGTTTAAGTCCGTTTTAAATATGTATACTTGAGTCTAGTTTATAGGTGAAGTTCATATTCTTCAAATCATATACATATTTATTGTTTTGCGCAAAATCAGTTGAAGGTCAGTTTAATCAAGAATTGATGACTGATAAAGAACCATTGTGAAACAGAGAGCACTGAACCTCACTTTCTGTCCCCAGTTCCGGACATATCAGTAGATTTTAAGGCGGGAAAATATCATCTAGACTGCTGAGTTCACACCCAATTTACCGGATATTCAACTTCAGTGTGATTGTGATATAGCTCAGGTCATAGTGTACTGTATGCTACCTATGCTGACAGACACAAGTAGTATATAACATCAGTTGGAAATGGAATGACTGGAAGTAGAAGATTGAAATGAAGAGAACAGGAAGGAAATCGGGGGAGCAATCAAAATAACAACAGAATTAAAGGAATAATGGAGTATATAAAGTACAACGTAAAGAAGTTGTGGAAATGATGTATTTGATGTGTGATTTTCATATTTTACTAGGCCACTATGATTTTGCATTAAAAAATAAGTTAGTTTTCTCCACTGGGTCTTCATGCACTATAACAGCTTCCAAATTCAACAACATCAAGAGTGCAAACTTAATGGTTATTATTTGGACTTCAGCTAGCTGGTCTGAGATTCAAAACTCGCCCTATCGACTTCATTTTAAGTAATTGAATAGTATCACAAACCCTCATACAAACAGTATAATTCAAAGCCATGCTCATAAATTCTTACTCAGTAAATTAGTTGGTTCAAATAATATTAAATTTATTCAGAACCTTTATCTGATGTTCACATGATAATATTATTGATCTAGTTTTTATGTGTGATGATATAATCTGAAGGTGAGTTTTAACATAAATGCACTGTACGAAGATACCACAAAAATTATTAAAGTCGAAAATGTAATTTGTTTTGGATCTGATTGTGTAGTTTGAAGGTACCATGGTTACTTTGAAATTTAAAGGTCATAGGTTTCAATCTGCGCATGGTGCTGGGTACGCAATTTCAAATAATCACAATATTTGGGATGAGACTAACTATTACCTAGAGCTTCCTAATTTTCAGCATCTCTTCAACTGGTATCGATTTCTTATGCCAATTGAATTCGTAAAGATACAAAACCAATTTAAGTTTGGGTAGTAAATGCTACTTCTTTTAAAAGTGACAAGATAGTTGTAATAAAAAAACTATTTATTTACGTATAGTATTTTGCCAGTAAATGGAAGCACCAATTTAAATTCATTTTCTTGTTACAGTACTAAGAGTTTCATAACATGTAGTTTTTAAAGAAAACTATTGACGAAATAATGTATATTCATTGCTCATGAATGTCGGAATGACAAATTGACATCATTAACATGGAGCCTGGCACTAATGTACGTTGGGTCCAGGTTGTCATACTAGAATAATGCGACGAGCTGAAAACAACAAAGTAGATCAAGATAGTGTAGTGGCAATGATAATAAGAAATATTAAACCTTGGTATTTGGTTTCAAAAGACAGAGTGGAGATTTATGTATGAAGAGATATTGGGATTCAAGATCAGGAAGAAGATAAAGATAGTAATTCATCTACAACATTGTGAACGATTCTGAGTCATTTCACTAAAAGTTTTCAACTACAAATCATGGTTATTGCGGTGATCTCAACCAGGTAGTCTGGATCTATCAACATGACTCAGACCAACAGTCAGTGATGTCATAGACTGATGGGACATTTTAGTTTGGCCTCTCCTAACTTTCTTTCAACCTATTTTTGTACTAGCAACCATTATGCATTGCAATAAGTGGTGGTTAAGCGTACGTAGTACGTCTCCTAACCACCTTAGTTTATGGATATTTCGTTAATAGCCAAATCTACTTTTCGGACCAACCGTTGCTGCTGCCTTGACGTGGTGTTCGGGGTTGCCAATCGTGATGAACCAATCGGGCTATACTGGCTGGAACAATCGTTCCTCAAGGTCCTACCATGTCGAGCAAATCGGTTGAATAAAAGTAAAACTAAAAGCAGCAAACCTAAGGTCCGAGGGTGAATTCGTACTGCTGACTGTACAGAGGTGTGAAGGCAGTTAGGTGTTTCCCTCACAACCAGCATAACAGCGATGCTGCCTTCCCAAAAACGAAGGGTAGGGTAAGAAAAGGTCGACCCTAAAAATATACACCACGCCTTATCCCACGGATATCCGTCTCCATCGGTACGGTCTCAACAAGTGCGGAGCTAATACAAAAATCACTCACAAAAAGGTCGTGTATGACCGGCCTCAAGCCGTTGTCCCTTAGGCACTGCGGTCACACAGGTCACTAAAACCAACTCTAACCCAATCTCTTTTTTAGGTACCTCTAGAAGAACCCTTCCACGGTGTGGGCATACCTCATACGTCTAACAGCACTCAAGACCAGATTTAGTTAAGATTTGAGTACTGATTGCATTGACCAACTATTTATTTACTAGCTTTGGTTACTTCAACACCCAGATTTCATCACAACAAAAAGTCTAATTTGTTTTTGTACTTAAGAAATATATTCTAAATTATTGACTTTTATTATGTTCTTTTGTATATATAACTTTTATCCAGTTAGAAATATTTTAATTTAATAAATTATCGTATAGTACTATACTAGTAGATTTGTGAAAACACACTGAAAATCGAACTCTTTGATATGTTCAAAACAGTACATTCACTTAGTATACTCCAATTAAGATATGTAGCTGACATAAACTGAAGAACTATTGATGTTGTGAGATCATTGAACATTTGCTTAGTCTATAGACTCGGACTCCATTGTCTTTATTGGTTATCCAGCTGATAGCACTTCATTATTAAAATTACTGTCATCCTGGTTTGTTTAATGACTAACCAATTATATGCTTCTGTCACTTATTCAATATCTAAAAAACAAGAGAAGTATCATATTCGTGTAATAATGTGAATTTCTTACGACAGATGTTATATTATAAACTTAGTAACTTGTTTACAGTTACTATTTTTTATTTACCATGAAATTATAATTAACGCTTGGAAACACTGGTTTATTAAACTATGTATTGATTCACTAGCACCGAGTATTTAAATACAATGTTATCATGTACATGACCTCAAGGTGCCGTTAACCTTTATAATCATCCAGTAGATTTGCATATATATAATCGAGTTCTGATTAACTTCTTGCGTTTATGTCACATATGGACTGTTCTTCATTTTTGTTTGTATTTTCTTGCTTCTCTTACTAATATTAATGTAGTTCATTCTCATTATATCGCATTTGTATATATGTTTGTGAAAATAATCTGCTTCCTTAATATATATATCGACCAGGAAGGATTGAGTCGATCGCTAACCAGTTTATTAGTAAATGTTTTACGAGGCGTTCACTTGTTTAGTTCAAAGTTAGTCCCAGTGATTGAGCTATGAAAATTCACTACGAATTTTGCCAGTAACAGAGCTTGACGAGTACCATATGAATACTAAGGAAAGGAATATAAACAAAAGTTGTAGAATTAATAATCTCAGAAGAGATACTCTTTGAAGTTCTCATCTATCTTAATAAATCTTATTAAAGTGATTTCGTCAAAATGACATTAAATAGCAACCATTTCATTGAAATCACGAAATGACCAATATTACACCACCATTGAAGACCTTAAAGCACTGGAAGTCCGTCTCGTCCTAGTACTAGACTTCTCATCAGTGCGCATCCACGGTCTTGCATGCTGGATTCGAATCCGGCACTCTCAGTCTTGCGAGTGAACGGTCAACTTCTTGACCACTGAGCCGGCATCTGACGATGTCAATGTCTAACTTCAATCAATCCATAATTTCGCGCGACCATTGAATTTCGTGAGAAATTTGGAAGACGTTATGTTAATTTTGATTGGCTTGTCTCTGTTGTGAGGGTTCACCTCAAATTCTGTATTAAGTTATATCAGAGAATGGAACTGCTATCTATTTGACTATTTGAATGTGTTAAGCTCTTTTGTTGTAAGACGTTCAGTGTAATCATTCGGTTAGTCAATAGTTTATTGAATTTCCCAAGAGTTTTTACCACACACTTTATCAGCTTAAAATCAAGTAAACATCTGACTGTTTGATATGTATTTCATTGTACTTGAATAATCTTCATTTGTAGAATTCTTTGATTTCGTACAAGATTATAAACGAGGACTTATTCGGAAATTGTTAAGGAATGAAATTATTTATATTCTAGCCAAAATCGGTCGCATTTGAAGTCCATCAACAACCTAGTAATAACTTATGTCTACGAAGTCCATTGAATGAAGGTTCATCTAATGTCAGAAACTGCCCGATGTCGATAAAAGTACATTATCCTTTAGACTGTAAGATAAATGTCTAGGACAGTATTTTTAATTTCATACGAAATAGACACCTGAAACAGTTTCAGAGTTTACTAATAACAAGATGCTTTGCCCACGTGCGACTTGATTTTCAAGTTATTTTCTTTGTATAAATTAGAACCATCACTTAGTTACTCAATTACTAGCGAGAATATCAAGGTTGCTCTAAACTATCGCTTTAGTAGATTACCAATTAAAGTTATTATTGTTTCTGGTGATAAGTCATTGACTACCAGTGATAAAGATCAATTTATTTAAACCAAATGATTCTAGAGTAAGATACAAGTTAATTAATTTCGAAGTGAAAAACAAAAGCGTCATGTACCTATGTTATACTCATATGATGAATTCAATTAATTACATGAGTGAAACATTTCTCCGTAGAATGTTTTTATTCTTCCTAAAATTGTCACATGAAGAAAGTCAACAGAAGTAAACATACAAGCTAAAACGTATAATCTAACATTCACTATAATGAATAATTTTAATTTCTTTAAATAAAATAAATGTTATTTTTG